CGAAAGTCAAAATAGTCTCTTGGTATACACAAGTTATACTACTGTTTAGTTCATCAAAAGTCATGTTACGCCTCAAACTATGTATCGATTCAGATTATTCGTTAAACATTATTAGTAAAATGTAAAACATGTGTCGAATATTCAAATTTTGTCTCAATAACTAAATAATCGATTTTTTGCAGATATTTATTTGTGGTAGTCGTTAATAGTAACACTAGTCGCCCGAATTGGAATAGCCGAAATGGAGTTCCAGTCAGTCAGTCAGTCAGTAACAACGTAGACCTTCGTATGTACGTACGTCAGTCCGAGTTGCCAAATGTCGATTCAAATCCCATTGTGGTATAGGTAGTAAGAGTATAAGCAGTTATCAGAAAGATTAGGGTTTGAAGATGTTATTCAATGAGTATAATCTAGTGAAATAAATTTGGAAAGAGAAAAAAGAAAGGGACATGAAGAATTCAGAAGAGTAGAATTTGCAAGAACACAAGGAGTGGATGCACTTGCGCCATTGCAAACAATTTCGAGCCATGTCATTCAATGTCTCTAACCATCGGTTGCTATCATCTCGCGCATCCCAAGTCAGTCAGCTACAACGTAGGACCAGGTACATATATGCATCGGTCCAAGTTGCCATACCTCATTAACACAACAAGATGAACACCGGATTCATAAAAATAGTTAATTCAGAGGTGGTAATATATAAAAGAAAGATTGTAATAAGGATATAGTACATGAAGAAAGAATTATAACGTAGAAAGAAAGATATGAAGCGATTTTAATCTCTTAGTTTAAGGGAAGACAGAGAGTGTATAGACCGACGCCATTGTGATCGATTCTGAGACATGTCACCATGAGTCTCCAACCATTGGCTACGATAGTCAGCGTATCCCAACTAGGTAGTTTAGTATCTGTGCAACATAATAATTGATAATTGAATTTGTTCTAAGGATACAAATTCAACAAAATAATTAATGAAAGGAAATTTCACTTCATTTAAGAAATATTCTAATTTTTACGCTTGATTAACTAGATTACATGATCATATGTGACCTTAAGTTGTTTGATGATCCTTTCAAAAGCAGAAAAAAAATTACAAAAAAAAAGATTTGTTATTTCCGAAAAAACTCTGTCATTTTTTCCCATTTCTATTCTCAGTTCATTGAATTAGTCCTATAAAAAAAATAATAAATAAGCCATTTCTGTAAATGGATCCATTCAATGAAACTTATTACTGACTTTATAATTAGGTTACAATATTTGGACTGTTTGGAGTAATTATGATACAAATTCATAAAGGATATTTGTTATTGAAATTATTTTTATTTTCATGGTTTTTTTTTAATCTGTAACTTCGTTTCTTCAAAAGTAGAAAAAAGAAAACAAATCAACTTAATTACAATTATAATCAGAATGTGCACTGTTGAGGAGTCCTATATTAGGACGAAACGACCATCCAATGCTACTAGGTTTTTCATCGTGATCTAGCTTTAATTGATTCATGAATTCAACTATTAAAAATAATTACGATTGTACACTATGTGATATATCACCATAATATATTTCGAACAATTTGACCAAATATATACTTGTTAAGAACATTTATCTATGAAAAATTAAAAGGTTAACTAGACAAATGGAAAATAGGAGGAAACAAAGATTATACAGCGGAATCATGCGAGGAACATTGTGAAACTCAACATGTTGAATATTAAACTAATATTATCAGGGTAGCTTTATTCTCACCTTAACAAGTTAATGCGTAATCATATTGTTCGAAATGTACTGTGCTAATATATCACTGAGTTTTCAAGATCTTTGTTTTCTCATTAAACTGTCTAAAAGTTTAACAGAGGAACTAACTGCTTAATGATTGTTTTATAATTTGTATCAACTGTTTCGTATTTTATTTATGGCATACAAGTACTTTACATTATATATCGATTATCAGTATGGGGATTTGTGGAGATTCTAGTATTTTCACAGTTGAATTCACGATTCGATCTAAGCTAGACCATCAGTGAAAACCTGGAAGCACTGAACGGCTTTTCGACCTAGTATAGGACAACTCAGAAGTGCACACCCACGATCCCTTAAACGGGACTCGAATCGGGAATTCATCTGTGAAAATACTACGATCTCCACAAATCCCCATACTGATAGTAATCATGTGCTCACTAATGACTAGTCTAGAGATGGATCTCCTGGAGTTCTAGTGAGAAGCCGTAACTAATGGAATCCGATCCGTGTCGGATGCACCTCAGAAATAAATGAAGTGTGGGCCAAGGTCATGGGGCAATTGAAGCTGGACATTAACAACGCTGCCAGCTCAGTGGTCAACAGGTTACGCGAATCCCACATGGGGATCGTGGGTGCGCACTGCTGAGTCTCACAATAGGACAAAATGGCCGTCCAATGTTTCCAGGTTTTCAACGGTGGTCTAGCTTAGATTGACTTGTGAATTCAACTGAGAAAATATATCGATCAGAATCTTTTTTTGCAGAGTTGATATATCATTTTGTTTACAATCGTTCTCCAACTAAAAACAAATTACTAAAGAATGAGTATAATTCTATCTACTACAAACACTTAGTTTCATGAATTTTTTAATAGGTTTTCTTTGTTTTTCCCAATGTCGTATAAGTAAAACCGAGACAGGATTCGAATATTCATTTATATTAAGACATGATCAAAATAAAGTACAACAGACTGATTTAGAAACGTAATTGTAAAGTTAGCTAGCTTTAATTTTTGCTAATGAATCGCTAGCCACTTCGTACAACACCAGACTACACTTCAACTCGAACAATGGAAGAAAAGCGCAAAATATGAGCGAAAGCTCGATTCTAAGCTTCCTCTATGTACAAAAAGTCAAGTGCATTTATAAGTTTTCAGATAATATTGATCTTCTAGAAACCTCTGCAAACACGCCGAATATGGTAATAAAAAGAGTGATTATTCAATTAAAACATGATACATAACCCTTGACTTTTCTAGGTGTTCCTATAAAGCATCTATTGAATACTGCTTCGATACGCTTTCAGATTAGTTCTCAGCTTCCAGAGACTTCATTGAGGGATCTTTATGGATTCTGGGCAGTTATGAAGGCTTAGCCACTGCTTACAGAAATACACTGTTAGTTATCATTACTTAATCAGCGTGACTTATCAAACAAGATTTAGAAAAAAACAGTTTCACTCAGATACAATTTTACATTTACGGTTAACAGGTTCATCTAACCTAATAGTGTGTGCAGGGAATCTTAGTATCAAAAATTTAAAACAGTTCTTTTGATGAATGTGAATAATGCAATCAGAAGTTAATCAGAACTACGTGATGTAACGCGAACGCATTTGAAGCGAACGGTACTGGGTTGGAGTCCTAAAGTGAACATCAACTCTGGGATGCAGGTACATTTAACTCATGAGTCCTAACTAAGAGGAAATGTGCGCCCTGATAACCATCAACCATCTCCGCTTATTATGTAATGTACTGCCAACAAGAACAAACCCTCTCATAACCAATAGAGATAACCTCTCAAACCATAATGTCAACACAAGCGGAAAATACAGACAACAAGCATAACATACACAAATCCCTCTACAACGGATGGATGATAATACTACCAGCAAAAAAAGGTGATACATCACTCGTTTGTGGTATACAGATGATTGGGAACAACTAGACGAGGAAAACCAAGAACGCAAAAAAAGGAAAGCTATCGTGCCCCAGGAGCTGTACCATGTCTTCTATGAGAGAATGTAGAAAAGTCAAACAGCCTCACCAACTTCTATGGCTGTAAGGAACACCTAATTGGTTACAAAAATAAACGAATCCCAATGGTTAAATAAGAGCACATGATAGACAAATTTCTTTCTTCATCACGGATCATTCGGTTGAGATGGCTCATAGGGACAATAGGGAATCAGCCATTGTAGTGTTGTATGTGTTCAGGGCCGTATACTGTTAATTGAAGCCTTGATCATACGGAAGTTGAAACTCCCTTTATGTGTTTAAAAACAGTTTGTTATCGCCTTGAACCTACCCTGGTAATATTGATTTATTATCTAGCGTGCCAAGTTTCACATTGTTTTCTTTATTATTTTCATTTTTCTCTTATCCTTCAATATGTCTAGTTGACCTTTTATTTTACATATTCAAATGCTTTTAACAAGTGTGCATTTATATGATTAGACTGCCCGGAATGTTTTGCACTAATACATCAAACAGCTCATATAAACAGACAGCATAATTAACACACATACAATATTGAAAGAATCCATAGTAGCCTGAAAATAATACTTTACAACTAAACAATTACTTCAAAAGAATTATGTGACCAGCAGTCGTTCCTACACAATAATTCTACTAAAAAAAATAACGATGTAGAAACCGTGTTAAGTTCATAAAATTATGTACAAACTAGAAATCAATCAAAAAAACCTAAAATGTGTTTTGACTTCATGATCATTAAGTAACCCAAACATGCTAAGATCTCTCGAAATCATACAACAAGATGTACTATGTTAAACAAACTATTGTTTATAAGTAATCTTTTTTAGAATTAATAACAGTTGTGTATAGTTTATACGAATATTCGTCAAGATTAGAACGAATAGTTTGACAGTAATTGAGCGCCGAGTATAGAGAAGTCACTAAATGTGAAAATTATATTTGAACTATTCTCAGCGATTGAAATTTAACTAATTCCAACGTTTCGTCCAGCTAACTTGTCTGGACGAAACGTTGGAATTAGTTAAATTTCAATCGCTGAGAATAGTTCAAATATAATTTTCACATATAGTTGTGTATAGTGTTTGTCAGCCTGGTCAAACTTTATAACTAGATATTATTCAACTATGTGAATCTGGCAACAAATCTTATAGTTTGAGAGATTTTCCAACAAGAAAGAGAATTTATGTAAGCTCAATAGATCAGAAGACTAATACAAAAACAGTACATCAATAATAATCTTCAATATGATAAGAAAGAAACTAGAAGTTCATTAAAAAGCTTTATATTCAAAAAAAAAGAAGTCAGAATTCTTAAAGAATAAATCTATTCATTTTTGTACCATATATGATCTTAAAATACATACAAACTAAAAATGACAGCAACTAAACAGATAATAATAAAAGTTAATAAATTCAAAAACAATTATCAACGACTTCTTTGTGTATCCAAACTGTCATTTTATAAAAAAAAAAAAAAACGACTATATAGTTTGAGATCTTCTAAATAGAAGTATATTTTTAAAAAGAAAAAAAAACTACCCAACATTGATTGATAAACTCAAGAAAACCAAAAGGAAAGAGTAAGTTATCCATCATACACACAAACATGGACACATTTGAAAATAGAAAACCAATAGAAAGACTATAATTCGTTCTTCTTCCCAATGACTTTTCTATACCTTACACATAATACAGTACAACAACAACAACAACAGCAACAAGGAACAAACAATATAAATAACACTATTTTGTGTATAATACATACTATTAATTATAATTATCACTATTATTATAAATATTAATAACAGTAGTACTATGAAGGCAGACAACTTAATTAGTGTTCATATAAACATATGAACAAGGTAACACATACTCCTTCTATAAACAACGACAACACCACCACCAACAACAACAACAAAAAGGGCAACAACTAAATTGATGAATTAAACTTTTTTTTGTTTTCCCAAAAAGTACAAAATGAACAATACAATAATAAACAAATTGCTATGAATACATTAATATTTTTGAAGAAAAAAAAACGTTAATAAGAAACCGGAAATTGACCTTTGAAAGTTAGTAATAAAAAAACAAAACAATTTTACCCCAAATGCAAACGGTATTTTGCACACAGTTATATCATTAACTTGATAGTGTCATAAATCAGTAGTATAATGATTTATGCAGTAGATATATGTTATTGTTGTTGTTATTATTATTATTATTAGTCAATTGGATACGCAATGGTTAAAACTTAAGTTTTATTCATAAGAAATATTAAGAAAACAAAGTAGACTTTGAAAGAAGAAGAATAACATGAATACACAAACATACAATTTGTACAAAATAATAACAGTTAGTTAATTCAGTCTGAAGATATACAATCAGGTTGATGATATACAATATCACGTGGAGGACTGGAATAACGTGGAGTTGATAAATCACTATCAAATATATTATTTAATGAATAAGATCGTTGAGAAACAAACTGAGGCATTTTAGATGGTATACATTTTCGTGGACCTCTTAAGAAAATGTCAGTAGGGGAATTTACATTGACTAGTGAAGTAACCCGTGAATGTCTAGGCCATCTAACCAGACTAGATGATGCTAATGATTGACAGTCAACAGTCCAGCCTTTTAATTTTGTTGGTTTCCATTTATGTAACCAAATTACACTACATGTTATATTATCTGATGCACCATTTTGCACAGCTAAATTAACTAAGAATTCAGAAAATGAATGGTGATTTTTACAGTCCTTTTTATGATAAATATGCTCTTTATACCAATGCCATGCCATTAGTGAAATCTCTGGACCAGAACAACAAGGTACATCCCATAGACCATCACTTGCCATAATCAAGCATAAAGGCATTGATGTTGTTGTCTTATTACGATGATGCGTTGATTGTTGTTGTTTAGCTGCTGACCAAATTGTTATGGATGGTAAGGCGTTCAAGCCAACCGCTGTTTCATCATCACCAATTGATCGACTTACCGACGATAAACATCCAACTCTACAATCGACTAAACTTGGATTATCAAGAGGTGGTATGGAAATACATTTACTAAAACAATTATTATTAGGTGTATTTTCTTTGACACCACGAGTCACAGCTAAATTGATCATAGAATCTTTAGGTGAATGTGAATAGAAAATTTTATTCTCCACAGATGAACTATTTTCAGAGCCAACTTCAGTTAATATTGAACCTCCAGTTCGTAGGATAGAAACAAATTCGGACTATAAAGGAAAAATAAAAAAAGAATTATTTAAGACAGGAACATAGTAAACAAAAAACCAAATTTTCAGATCTTTCAATATCAACTTCAATTTAAAACAATTAGTCCATTTGATAAGTTTGAATACTGTAAAGACGCAGGACGATTCCCATTATTACTAATATGATATAATTAAAGCAATATATTTCTAAAAATATAAATTGTTAAGGTTTCTTTGTTGAAGATGGATTGCACTCCTAGTGTTAGTGATCACACTGGGACTTAAACTCACTACCTTTCTCTTCAAACGCTAAAGCGTTATTTATTGAGCTACGACGCCCAGATAGCCACTGACTTGGTCAAAGGATATCATGTTTATATCATTGTTACCAAGTGACTTCATGAAGTCCACTAACCCTTTCTTTGACAATCGTATGAAAGCGGTTCAAAACAGGAAACTGTTCGTACGACCACGATCAAAACCGGTTATCAGTAGAGAGTAGTTTTTAGATTCATTGAAAGAAAATTACTTCATGTCTCAAAATACTCCTTGGATCATCAGTTCACCAATTGTAATAGAAATGTTCCATGGAAAGAAAACTGTAGATAAACAACTAGGCCCTTTTGACAGTTTCTAAAATGCTAGTTTCAAATAGTATCACATTATACAGGATAGCTACAAATGAATTGTTCTCTGACTGAACGAACTCATGAGTCAAATTAGAGTATCTAATAAATTTGTAGTTTCATTAATATCTCTTAGAAAAAATTAAGATGACAGTGATGTTGGAAAATATTTTTGTGATATAAGTATTTTATGAGCTTTTTGATTCTCAAAATATCTTACATTAAATTCAACATCAGCCCTACGTAAAAAAGTGACTTTTACTCTGAAAAAGGAGGAGAAGTTGTTCACACTTTAGTTAGTTTTCAAATAAGCCGCGATCAGCAGAGTTCAACCATTTCGAGTGAGACGCTTATCAATGTCAGGCAACGGAAGATAGTCGCTCAATATCGTGAGATTAGACATGTAAACTATTGATTGTGAGCTCAGTGGTCTAGAGGTTAAGCACTGACGCGAGAGAACGAGGGTCGTGAGCCCTATTCCCAGTGGAGTCCGGGATAGGATCTGCTGAGGAACCCTGTACTAAGACGAAAAAGATATCCAGTGCTTCCTCGTTTTTAGTGATGATCTGTCTAAAATCAGTTCGTGATTAAGACTGAGAATAAATAATAGATTGGAATATTTAACAAATATTTGATAAACACGATACAATTATTGTTGAGGTGTAGAGATTATGGTGTAGACTTTTACTTGGTGACCAAACAGAACATGAAATTAAGTTCTACAAATTGGTGATAGAAGCCTAAGTAGATGAATGATTGATAACGACTCTGAATGAGGGAATAGCAGTCCCTCTGTAGTTGCATTCATCCAGCTAAAATAAATATAGTACTCAATAAATCAAGTTCGGAGACAGATATTTAAAATGAACTTGTGACATATCATTTTTTTGTATAATACTGACTATCAACTGAGGGTATATATATATACACTTGTGAAGTCCAATAATAAGTGTTTTGAAACTATGAGGAAAAATTCGTAGCTAAAGTGGATACATTTGGAGAGGGTTTTAGACTTCATAGACTGAATGACTTATATTTAAGCTATCGTAATCATCTTATATATTTTTCTGGTTAGCGTTTTATAGCGAGTTAGTTTTCTACGGGATGGGGACGCTAACCCCATGCCCAACCCTCCTCCTTTATCCGGGCTTTGGACCATCAGTAGCCTCCGGAGGGACTCCAGGTCAGGATTTTCAATACAAATGTCAAGATGGTTCTACTGTATGGGGTGTGAACTTGGAGAACTACGAAAGCCATCATTCAGAAAATACAGGTGTTTATTAACAGTTGTCTACGCAAAATACTTCGGATCAGTTGGCCGGACACTATTAGCAACAACGTACTGTGGGAGAGAACAAACCAGATCCCAGAGGAGGAAGAATTCAGGAAGAAGCGCTGGAAGTGGATAGGACACACATTGAGGAAAGCACCCAACTGCGTCACAAGACAAGCCCTCACATGGAATCCTCAAGGTCAAAGGAAAAGAGGGAGACCAAAGAACACATTACGCCGGGAAATGGAAATAAACATGAGAAAAATGAACAAGAATTGGATGGAACTAGAAAAGAAGGCTGAGGACAGAGTGGGTTGGAGAATGCTGGTCGGCGGCCTATGCTCCATTGGGAGTAACAGGCGTAAGTAAGTAAGTCATCTTATATGACATTATCAGTCTACTTAAAATATAAGAGAAATAATTATGTTTAGTGAACTGATATATTCGACAGAGAATTAACGGAAACATTCTTTTTTTGGAAAAGGAACAAAAAACGGACTACAGTATTTACTTGACTGAAAGAAAATATTGAACCAATAGTGTAAAAATTCATTCATTTAATTTCAGTTCGACTTACAGGTGATTCTGGGCGATGTAGACAATCAGTTAATGCAATGCCTAAATATTCATTTATATCCATTTCATCATTATTATTACTATTATTATGCATGGAATTCTCCTGATCCATTAATAATGAGAAAGAGTCTTCAGTGAAATGTTTCACTTCAATTGCCGACTGTGGAGTATTTTGTTTTTGATGATGACGCTTCTCGATGATTGAAGCACTTTGACTAGTAGGCATACTTCCATTACATAATGATGATGATAAACGATCGGGCATAATATTCAACGATGTCGACTTGATAACACGTGTATTATTACTATCAATGAGATTTTTATCCGATGACGGGATTTCCATTAATACAGACATTCTTTCCGGTGACTCATGAAAACTACTACTACTAATAGTATTAGTAGTACGATCATTGTTTTTATTCTCTTGTACGCTACTATTGCAACAATTAAAATTACTTTTTAATATATTATGATTAATAATACCATCATCACTAATATCATTTGTATAGGGAAAAATAAGCCAAGCTTGTGAATCACCGACCCAAGCTGTACATATAGTATCACCAGCAAATGCACATATTGTAGCTGTTGTACCAGAATTCCAAAACTGATAAAAAAATAAAAATAAAAATGAGAAATTAGTAATAGCACGCTAACAATAAGCTATACTTGGTAGATCTCAGTAGAAGTGCGTAGTATAAGAATTACGACCCATGGTAAAGGTAAGGTTATGAATACTGCTACTAATGCTACCACTGTCAAAAAGCTGCGTAAAACTACCATTATAACTGGCGCATATTTATAGATGTTCAGGCTGACACCGACAAAGTCATGTGGGAAATGACTTTGGATAGAAAAAACACACTACTCACATATGGCCCTGAGACATGAGATGATTTGTCTCGTTTCGATTAGCACCCACCATTTAAATGATGAGAAAGTAGGTGGCTCTTCTAAGCTTAAATTTCACGTTTTATCATCATCCTTCAGTTGGTAGACAGCAGTCTGAAAGTTTATTTTTCTGATATCTGAAAGTTTGAAGAATTTACGGTCGCAAAATACGCTAAGTTGATGGAACTTAGAAGTGCAAATCATTTGATACCAACTCAGCAATCCAAAAGTTAGGCGCATGTTGAAAGACCTGAAGGTCCCGGTTACGATCCCCGTCAAGGTCATATCTATGCATTTCTGGGGAGACACATCCTAGAACGAAACAGATATCTAGTGCTTCTCATTTTGTAATGGTTATTTAAGAAATATTTGTGACGTAAACTATGAGATTTACGATAGTCAATAATTCACTTCCTGGCAAGAAAAAATCAGAAGACAATGAATTGTGTGTTAAATTGTAAATACATAATACCTGTTACATAATACAAAGAGATAGTTATATAAAGTTGAACAATATTACCTGGTTGCATCAAAAAAGATCATTGCTTAGGGTTAAAATATTTAGAACGATGACCATTTTGTAGTGGGATGATCAAGTGCTTACTAAAGTATATAAATAAACTTCATTCCGAATGGTGAAATAGATTTCTAAATGCATTAGTGTAAAAAAGCACTTTTAACTGTATTGGTTGTCTGCTTTCCAATGAAGAACAACAATTTTCAAACCTGTGTCGATGATCGAATTGCTGGTTCCCAAATATTGTGGTACGATCGAGGGTAAATGAAGTCCTCTATCTCTAAAATGCTCTCTTGTAGCCATACGTTCATAAACTCTTACAAAGGGGTCATATCAGCCATCTTTATGAGGTATGTTGCTTACGAAAGTGAGAGGATGGAAAGTGAACGTTCAGGGTTTAAACTAGGATAGTGGATACGGAAGGCGCAGTTAAAAAGACCCTAACTTCAAACCAATGTTGTACATGGACTTCTAGATCCTGAGGGAACGAATGAGGTATGAACCACCAGCTGCCCTGGGACGGTACCTTCCTACGTTGTTCCACTGTTTTGCGCATTAAGCCAACAGATTGAAAGTTCAGAACGCTGTCTCCTAAAGTGATTTGTTGACAAAGTGTATACGAAGTAACCGGGATATACATTGCAGTAGAGTCGATATTATACAATAAAACTGGGATGAGACGGGTACTAAATATCACTTGTTAATTTGAATTGTGAAAGAATAGCGTAACTTAAAATAATCTGTTAAATATAGCGAATAGTTACGTAACAATGAGATTAGGAAATAAGTTTGAAATTAGGCAATGGAATATAAACGTACGTTATTTTTAAAAATAACAGTGACAAGTAGATAAAACAGGACCAAAGAATATATATATGAATGGTGCATTTTCGTTATAATCAAAGTTTTACTGTGTTCACGTTAGTAATTTGGCTAGAGAAAATCAAAAGCCATTTCAAATTTTTCGCATTTAGAGTTTTCATATCAGCTCAGGGAAAAATCACTCCTACTGAGATGGTGTCAGACATAATCTCAGGATATATTCAGAAAATTCAGTTAGTTCTTATCAACTTGGATAGTCTGTGGCGTATGCGAAATATTGATCTACCAACTAAGATGAAGGTCCACTGCTTGTCACTCGAAATGTGAAATATGGGCCATGAAAATGGAAAACGCGCGGTGGCTTTAGACTTCGTTATATATATAGTGTTGAATTTATGTTTTAAGTAAAGACTAAAACCACCGCTATCCCACCCTTGCGAACTTGAAAGCGGAACGATGATAAACATACTTTGGACAAAACACTATATTTTATGATGTATTACGGAATACGATGGAAAAAAGCTACTACTAAACTAATTGAACTGATTTTGTGCCAAAAAACAGTCACAAATGTCACATTTGTTTAGTTCTGCTTAATAGTTAAGGAATTCCATCGACCAAAAAGTTGAAAATGTGACCCCTAATTATCTAAGTAACCCGATATTACGTACACTGTATTGAGATGTAAGATGGTTGGAGGCAGTCGTCATAAAACCTCAGACCTATATTGATTGTGACCTCTTATTTCAATCAGATGCAAATCATTATTTTCTTCACATTCATCATTAGTTGTGATAATAAATTGTATCAGTTCATTTGCTTGTATCATTGATAAGATCTTGATATTTAGAAAATGGGTGGTTTCAAATAAAAATTACAAATGTACATTTTTATAATGTATTATAATTGACTAATCACTGAATAGTGATCAATGTCATGTTAGCCAAATCGGTTAGATTAGTTTTCATATTGTAACTTGATTGATAGAATTCGATCAGCATTAGACAAGTATGATATGACTTAGTGATTAATCAAAAGTATAGTTATATTAGAAGACGTCTGATTTGAGTTGATAGATAATTTGACTCTTTCAATTACAGTTATTGTTATACAAATTTTGTTTTGTTAATACCGAAAGATTGTAGATATAAAAAATTTGTCAAAATTTTAAATAACTTCATGACAATTCATTTTTGATTTGAATCTCCTCATTGATGTTTAGGACTACAATTGATCAGTCTCTTATTAGTATATGTACATTCTGTGCGGATTGCCTCGATATTGCCTTAAGTCACAAGCATTATAAGGAAAGATGAACATCAACTCTGAGATGTTACATCTAGTTGACGAGTCCGAAATAGGACGAAACGCGTATCCTGGATTCCACTGCTAGTCACTATCCATCTTTGCTTATAACTTCATTACATCTGCTCCCAATCCAGACGTTTAGAACGATGGGCGGAACATTTCAGAGAACAGTTCAGCTGGCCTTCAGCTACTCTACAACTACCCTCCATTCCCAGACAGTGTGAATGGAACATTGAAGTAGGTCCCCCAACTCTAGCAGAAGTTCAAAAGGCTATAGTTGATATGAAACGAGGAAGGGAAGCTGGTCCAGATGGGTTGGCTCCAGATGTCTTTAAGGATGGTGGTCCAATTCTAGCGATTAAGTCGACTAATATTTTAGCTAAGATCTGGGAGTTAGACGTTATTCCATCTGACTGACTGATACCGTACAAAAGTTTGTTTACTCTATATGAGTAGTAATAATAATAATAAGTAACTTTAGATTTCAAATTCCTTGAATGTCGAAAATTGAACATATTTTAAAATGAAAACATATGATGTACTCTTTTCTGTTTTGTTTGTTTAAAAAAACAAGTAGACATGTTCATGTTTCAGACTGAAACTGAGTACCATTGGCTTCAAATGCCGACGAGTTACCCACTGAACTACTGAGTTCATATTATTACTAACTTTTTCAATGAGTATATTGTTTAAATTATTACTAATCAGCGTTTAGATTACCCCACTGCTGATATGTACCATTTAAATTTGATTTAACAAGTTCTATATAGGACGGAACCAACATCCTGAATTTCTAAATTCACTAATTCAAGAAACTCATTTGATAGCCTGGCTTTTCGAGGACAAAGAATACAAAACAACTTTATTCACTTGGTAAAGGATAATAAAATATTAGCAGTAATAAAAGCGCTGTCAATGACACATATTTAAGTGAGTAGGACTTTTCCATGGACATTGACACACACAGAGAACGTAGATTATTACGAATTCTTTCATAAATATAAGAAAAGAAATACATAAATAAAAGAATATGCATAGGGAGACATAAGGAAATAAAATTGAAAAAACAAAACCTGTTCATCAACCTCTATCAAACAACATCCTTATGAGGAAGTGGACAAAGAGAGAAAAATAGAAGCGACTTAATAAGAAAAAATAACTGGAAAGAAATGACGGGGAAAATAACAAAGACATCGAACAATGTTGCAAACATTTCGAGAAAGCATCTATGAGATAAAAAAAGGAAGAATCATCTTGGCCTGTCCCCGTTCTTCCCATACAAGTGGGCACACACAAACACAAACTCTCACACACATTTAAGTACTATCTTTATCTAAGCTGTCAATTACAAAGCTGTTACAGTGGAAATATAATACAAAGATTTATTGATTTTCTTACAGAATATAACCAACACCAAACAAAGAATAACCACACAGTGAAGTTAACAGAAAAACTAAGATTCAATGGATAAGTATGGAAAGAATAGAGACACATTTATTTCAAAGTATTTGTTTATATGAATAAATTTATTAATATACCATTTTGTGTGTGTGTGTGTGTATTATTCGAGTGTGAGTGATTCAGCTAACCAGTACTAAATTCAATAATTAGAGGAAAATAACAAACGAATACATTTACTTAATTATGACCGATTGCCTCGAGTTGTATCAGAATTGTTACATGAGTTTTGTGATAGATATTTTTGAAGGAAAAGAAACTCTTGTGCAATGGAATCATTGTGAACCATGAAATTCTGGCAACAAAGATGGAAGTTCAGGAAGAAGTTTTGACTATTGTATGCTCCGATCAGATTCACGCTAAAACGCGTTGATTCATCCCTTTTTAAATAATCAGAGCCAGTGGACAAATCAAGATGCTAGAATATTCTGATGTACATTTTAAATAAACCCTGGTGTCTTATACTAATGTATCTCAGCGTTTCGAGTTTATTGTTCCCTTTCAATTCGTGTCTTGATATGACGATAGTTGAGTGAAGAATAGTTTTTAATAAATACTATGCAATTAAATAATATATAAATACTGAAAACTCGAAGTGAGACAGCCCTAAATTAAGCATCAAGATGCTTTTTATTTGTTGTGATCCTTCTAAGTCTCTGTTTTAGCATCCAAGTACTGTTTAAATTTTTTTATAATAAAAACTCAAACTGATGCACATTAGTAAGTTTACATGAGGGATTGGTCTTAGACAACCATTAAAAATCAAGAAGCATTGATCAGCTAGCTTTAGCCCTAATGTAGAACTCCTCAGCAATGAGAACCTGCGGTCCCAATGGGGACTGAATTCAAGTCTCGAGGTCAGCGCTTGATAATGGCTTTTTACTCACAAATAAACATAGAAACTCAAACCGACAGTCCAGTAACTTAAGTCACAATGACAATGCACAGCAAGAGCTAAACAACAAACTGGTTGAACTTTTATTCAGTACAATAAAAGAGATCACTCTATAACAGACAGAATTATTTTGCATACCGAGACACTAAGAAAACAATATTAGTACTACCTAACGTAAATATGTATTTACATTTATATAGTCAGTATCTAGTAGAATGAAGACACGTTCAATTCACTAAAATATGAAATAATAAAATGTGCATACCGCCAAGACAATATCCTATACAACAAATATCTATGATGCAAAAATAAATACAGACGTACACACACATACACAAATGACCATACATACATGCATAAACGTGTACACAACATACCTCGATTACTTTTCATGCAAACGATATTTTGATTATAAAGACACAACTTTCATTAATAAATATGAACAAATTCTTCATTGAAAAACAAAATTTCAGTTGTGTACTGCCTTTATATTTATATACATACCGACATATTAAAAAACTGTTAACTATGTACAATCGTTCTAGATATCATTTACAAAAATAAGTAATTTCCGTTCCTTCCCCACCTCTCTTGAGTTTCTGTCTAACAGGAAGAATGTGGTGACGATAATCACATTAAAAGGTGAAATAACCACTTCTTCAAAATCAAGAATTAAATTAGACATTATTAGACACTTGTTTTGCTATTTGCATTTATGTAGTCAAGTGATAAACACACAAAAATACGTACATACGTGTTTCTGTTATGAATATACACCGGTGTGTACTCAGTAGTGCATACTCAGAAATCTCATGGGATCCAACCCAAAAATTTTAGGTTTGTGAGGAGCACGGTATTGAGTCGATGAAATTTACCCTCAAAACATACAAAAATATTCACAAAATCACCATATATATGGGTGGAAAATTTCGAGGAACGGTTTAACTAGTTTCCAGTTAGCCTGTTGTTATCAATCAAGGTTGAGAAGGGAATACCTAGTATACAGAGAAGGACAAAAGTGAGCTCTGATACATTAAGCCCGGAGATCACTAAAGCACGTGGTCCAGCTGTTGTGGTTAGATTCACTATTAGCCATTATCCAACTTCAATTATCTTGTAAAAACTTGTGATTAAATAGTAATATCGAAGTGATCTGCTCACGATGCATACATATTAATAGAAACAAATCAATCCTAGGTCTTAACATTAACAATGGCAAAATACAAACACTTGTACAAACTAAAAATGGTAATGCTATGTAGGTGGAAGTGTAACAAATAAACAAAACTAATAATAATAATCAATTGGAAATAATCAAGTTAGAAGAGAACAATGAAGAACTAATGAGAACAGGATGATTCGTGATAGATTTAAATGAAGTCATGTAAACAAATAAAACTTGTGTTATCACTCAATCATAAACGTCTTCTTTTTGTACATGTGCATATCGATACAATTGTCTATGTATGTGTGTTGAGTAGTACATGTATGTTTATAACTAAAGGTACACATATATAGATTTGCATGATATCAGACATACTAAAATTATATTATGAGTACATTTATTTTTCATGCATCAATATGCTTATGAAAAAAAATAATAAGTAATACAAATGTGGTTCTTTTTTTGGAAAACAACGTCACAGACTAAATCTGAATGTGATTAAATTACGTAAACAAAGGCATACAGAGAGAAAGGGAGAGAGAGAGAGAGATGTATATAACTGATTCATCTCGTTCGTTCAATCATTTGACCACTGATTAAAAATATCAAACCTATATAAGTTAAGAGGGCAGCATCAAACGACAGATTACACATCAGAGAATTTATTGTCAATGATTATAAGATATAATCATTTATTTTTATGAAGATTTCATTATGTAATAATGAGGATAACTTTTATTATGATTAATAAATTCAATGTTAAAAGAATCGAAGTTAGAAGTGTTTCATTGTATAGTCAAAGCTTAATACTTTCGTTCACTACAACCCACTTTTCGATTAAATGAATAAATGAATGACTAATTGGTATGCTTTCGACACAAGAGAAGATCATTATAACAAAAACGGCTATATAGTTACTTAACAAAAAGAGATAAATATTGATTACATAGTGACAAAAAGTTATTTAACAAGGGAAAGAAAACTAGAAATCTTTTGAAAATATAAATATAAAAGTGTCGTATTCAATCACTGATATGGTGTAAACCAAAATAAAAAACATTGAAAAGTAGAAAGGTAATAATAAATAAAGTATCACATATCTATAACATAGATGAAGTTCGAGGGAGTATGAATTTACTAACAACAACAATTTTATTAAACCAGTTATTGAATTGTAACCTATTAGAAGATGAATATTTGAAATAGGTAATTGCCAAGTTTTATTTACTTTTACCATAGTTACGCCTTCAAAAGTTATACCGAAGTTATTCGACATGTACAGGATTAAATAAGCTTACTCGAAGATTTTGCTGATCGATCTTAGGTACATACAAATGATACAATGTTGTTAAGTGATGATGCTGAAGATATCAGAATTTATTACTCATTAACTATGAACACTGCTTCACAGCTAATCTGTGTCGATGTCTAATTTGACAACAAACAAAGATGAAGTAGTTGATCCCACTGACTATTACACTTACCCTAAGAAACTTATAAAATCTAGTGGTCTAATAGTTGATAAAACCTCAAGGAGTCATACAGAAAAGTGGTTTACTTATAACCAACTTATGCCATTTTCAGAGTGAAAACACGATGTTCCATATTGTTCTCTATTGTTTGCGGGTGTGGAATATGTCCATTGAGGATTGAAGATATGATTAAGTTGTTAGTGAGTGGCGACAAGTATCTTTGGATGTATAATGACGTATGAGTATGTATAAACTTTAATTGGTTGAAACTATTGGGTCATATATATTATGAATATTAACCAACCGCCTACCCTAACACGCTACGTTATTTGTCATGGAATCGGATCGGAAGAAAGGCAGAGATACTCGACCGAAATACAACATTGGTCCACGAATAAAATGACTGATAGTCCGAACCATGTAAAAAAATGAGTAAGTGAAACAAGCTGGACGAAGAACAAGTCAAGAAATCGTCAACTAATTAAGAATATCACCGACTGATTTGATTTAGAGTGATATTGCTGGGAAAACCTCAGTTATCAAGTCATTTGTAAATAGATGTTACTTATTTCCTGTAATGATAGACAGAGTACATTTTTTCGAATCCATATTTCCGCTCGACCTTTGCAGTTTCTGATTGGCCGTTATCGCCTTTAGTTTACTAATTTTCCTATGTCCCACGTTCTGCTGCTAAATGCACAGAATTATTTTACTTCAATTTTGTCCTCGTTGAATATCAAGCTTTTTCTGCATACCTATCTTCTTGGGTCCCGTTGTTTGAGGATTACTGCTGACACTGTGTCAGTTGCCATTCTACCGAGTCCGCTATAGAACACAGTTATGTATTATGAGGATCTCGATCGTTCGTGATTAGACAATTACTGTAGATCTAATTGAATCAATCTCAAGACACAATAGATATAAGTAGTCTTTACATACTTGTTATTCAGTAAATAATAAGGAAGCTATCGTGACAAGAAAAACTGAAAACACCAATTCCAAATACTTCACCTACTTTTAACATTATCCACTTTAGTTTTGTTAACTATACATTTTATATTTGCTTTCTTAGATCATACAACATATCTGTTTGATCCAATTTATTTATAAAGTCGGATACGATTTTTTCTCTCTCTCTTAATGTTAGTTATGAAAAAAACAAGTAGATGAACTGGAATGAATAGACACTTCTGTACAACGACACTATTGCTCTATTGAACAAGACAATATTTATTCATTTGTTTCACACATTAATAGCAACATAATGCATACATTAGTCTCTTTTTCTCGTGCGCATACACACAAACTTTTATAGAACTACACATATATCACAGTAAGAAAAATGTACCGATATTCATACAAAAATAAGCACTGAAACAACATATATATATACATATATTTGTTAAGCGAAAAGTGTATTCTATTATTACCTTTTGTGCTCTTCCACTGTTGACTGATTTATTCAATCGATGAAAGATTTCGGCTAATATATCTGGTATACATTTAGAATAATTACGATTAATACTAGATGACGATGATAAAATATGTCGTTGTAACTCTATACTAAGTAAATACGGTGTAAGGTGAGAACAGTGTTCAGCCACTTCTGGACCATTATGACCATCGAAAATACCGAATGCCGTGATTGGTGAAAAATCTGTAAGATATGATTGGTCAATCTGTGTAAAGTTAAAGAAAATCAAGCAAAAAGAAAATAGATGAAAACTATACTAAGTGATGAATAGAATTGAAAATCACTAATTTTTGGCAGATTTGTTAAGTTCCCTGTTAAACGATGAGCAGTAAACTGATATCGTGAATTGATTAGACCTAGGTATGTAAACGACTGGACGGCAACTCAGTGATCTGAAGGTTAAGCACTTGTCGCGAGACTTGAAGGTCCTGGGTTGGATTATTGGTAGGGTCTTGGATGTGTACTGATGAGGAGTCCTGCACAAGAATAGAACAAATGTCTAGTGTTTCGTGGTTATCAATGATTGTGTGACTGTTGTCAATTCGTTATCTAAACTACGAAAAATGACCGTCTTCACAAACCCTACATAGTAATATTTAATGTTGTTTAAAATGGAAGGAAAGAAAATGCATTTAAAATAATTGAAAGCTTAAAAGTGTCGTACAGACATTTCATTTATAGCATAGAATGCCTTGTTAGTGTTAAAAAAAAACAATAAATTTTAGATGAAATATTTCCTAAACATGATTAAGGTATAAAATGTTAACTGAAGAACATGACACTTTTGGTGTGAGTTGAAAAGTTCCGAAATAGATGTATTTAGAAGAGAGCAGGCGTAGGTCAAGACATGATAGTTGTTAGATTGTCTCTCACACACAGTTTTTTAGTGATCGCAATGAACTTTCTCCATTTAACAAGCTTTTGTCAATTGGAAGTTCGTTTTTATTTTCATGCAACGTTTCCAATGAGTTTGGAGAATAGACTTGAATATCATCAAGTACTTCACTGTATACGAATCAACCGGTAGTTGAAGTCAACCAGTTGTGCCATCATCCTCAATTTCGCAATTTTAACGTACACACACATATTTATACAAAACTAGCTTTGCAGTCCACAGGAATATGTTATTTGTATTTCCAATGGTTGAGATCGTGAGTCAGTTGAAGCTAGACTACCATGGAAAACCTGGGGGTACTGGATGACCGTTTCGTCATATTGTGGAAATACTCAACAGTGCGTATCCACGATCTTGCCTCGCAAGATTCCAACCCAGGACCTAACAGTCTCGAGCGCGAGCGCTTAACCACTAGACCACTGAGCCGGCCGGCATCCAACGGCGTTAATATCTAACTCCAACTAATCCACGAAATCGAGCCACACATTCACCACTGTCATCAGTGAGTTACTATTTCACAACAGACCTGGTTGAACTCCACTAGTCACTGCTTCTCACTAGAACTCCAGGATATACCTCTTGAAGCCAGTCACTAGAGAGCATAGGTTGATTAATATCACAAAGGGGTTTTGTGGATATTATAGTAATAATATCCACAAAACCCCTTTCTGATATTATTTGTATTTGTCAAAAGAAGGCATTCATTGTTACATCAGATGACTGGATGTCTTAGCCAATCATGGAAACTGATTATTTCTTATGAATTGTGAAACGAATAAGGAGAATTAGAAGCCTGTTTACATTCATATAATGATAACGTTTTGACAGCTTAACAAAGGGATACAGAGAGAGCGATTCTTATAGTACTTGTAACTAGTTAATAGAGATTGATCAATTCAATATGAAAATAAACAAATGGAAATTTCTGATCTTCAAGAAGCCAATAATATATCATATCCATGTAACAAATTTTGATTATTGTAACATTAGCCTGGTAGACCAAAGTCTAATATCTGAAACTATGAATAATGAGTTTGAATCTCAGTAGGAATATCATTAGGAATTCCAAAAGTACTACCTCAGCTAACTGAATAAGATTTTATATTATTGCACCTATCTGTCTATCTATCCATCTATCAACATGTTACGTTATCTTATTTCACAACACTTTCAACCAAATATCTAATTAACAAATCCTATCAAAATCACTAAACGTTTACTTTACACATATTTTTAGCTAGATTATCCCTAATCATTGAAAGATTTTTCGAAAATATTTCCTTAGACAACATTTTTAACAATCAAAACAATGGTTACCCTACTAACAAAATAGTTTGCATTTTTTTCTACAATTTCAATCGGAAGCTAAGTGTTTACGAGACCATACTTACCAAGTTGTTTACATATAAGTCGTAAATAGGTTCATGTGTAAAAATACTTCCCTGAATGATTAAATGAAACTATATCAAATGGAACTACATTTAAGTGGATTAATAAATCGTTTAACATAGAGAATAAACATCTAGGAAATCTATGCATCTCTAAACAGCGTAAAACTGCAGATCATGGAATCAACCATGCTGAAACTATCGAATAATGGTCGTGTCATACTACGAAAAACTGTAAACTATTATATTCCAGCTCAATGATCTGAATGTATGTTGGGTGATTGGAAGTAGTCAACATGAAATCCTGGACCTAAATTTCATCTTAATTTTCACTTGTCAGCAGGGCGCACCTGCATTCTTGTGGGAAATTGATGTTCCCTGTAAAATTCGAACTCTTATCAGTTAGTTTCACAGTCTGAAGTATCCTGCCCGCCATAAGGCCTAAAGGCTCTGTACCCGATTGTTTGTAAGGGCCCATGAGTAGGCACTATTGAAGAGTCACGACTCAGGACTAAAGAATTATTCAATAATCTCCAGTTTCCAACCGATTGTGACAGAAATTACTTTCACACATTAAACAACAAGTTACCATTTACTATGTCTTATAACTGAAGGGAATGAAACTAACTGAGCTACTCATTTAGTTATCGACCAGCTGATAGATCATAAGAAAGATATGGACATGCAATAAATTTTTTTGTATTTTTTTTATTTTCAACAAATTGGTCAGACAAAATTCGCTTGGTTTTATAGCTAGCTCCCAATTATCTATATTAAGATTGAAATCGAGATCAATCGAGAATTTTGATAGGATCGCTTTCATTGAGCTTTGGAATTATTTTTTTTATAGCTGTTCCGTCTACACTTGAGAATTATCAATAGTGGAAACTTATCAAACATTCTTTAATGGACGACTATAGATCATGAAGTATGTTTCCGTGAAACAGTAAACTAAATGTGAATTTTAAAAAAATAAATACTTGCAATTTATTACACATTTATATACATAACTGTGATTTGGTTGTTATCTGTGATATATTCATTTAGGAATCGATTGAACTTCAAATAACTAAATCGAAATCAGTGGTTGAAAAGTCAATGCATCTACACTGTAACCCATATGTGAAATAATATCTAGAATGACTAAAACACCTGACATTCACAATCACTAAATCACAGGTTAATAACTCACTACTACATCCTACTTACTTTGCACTTTGTGAATCCAAGTACCATCACTGGCGCTCAGATACAAAATTGTAGCTGAAAGTCAAGTACATTAAGTTTTACTGTGCTGAAATATAGTTTGCTTAGTCCAGAAACTGAAAACAGTAGCACGATTGTATATAATTAGCTACTTACTAGAATGTTATTGTTTAATATGAGAGAATAGTTGAGCAAGTTAGAACTTTTAGAATTATTCTGCAGAAAATAATTACCAATATTTCTAATTGTAAGCTTTTAGTTAACTGGCTAACTGTTGATGCATATTCTACCATTAATTGATTATTCACCTATTACTCAAATTTGTATCATAAATAACTTAAATATGTACAAATCATAATTTCTTATTTGTGGCATGATCTTATAATTAGTCAATAATATGATGTGAATTGTTGAGTCATGGAACAATACAGTTATAGAGAGTAAATCAATTGTTCGCTTTTCTGTCCAGACTCATCATCGGGGATAGAAGGAACCGCATGAACTAGTAGGAGTCAGGATATCAAGTAGTTGTTGATTATCCGAATCAAGTAAAGGTCACTGATCTTGTTGGAGAAAACCCAACTCCTCGTTAATGTCGACTATAATTGAGTGATTTTAATGCACGGGCATATTTAGTAGGTATATAAAAAGTTGAATTCATAACAGTAATGACAACAATTGGCAATTTTAAAAAGTACTTATTTATTAGTATGCTTACATGGCTTTTATACGAGGGAACATAAGACAGTAAATCCGCAACAGCAAACCAACGGTCTTCTTGACGTCTACGTCTGTTCACAATTGAATGTGTATCCAATAATAAATTTAATGAATTCAGTGAAGCACGTGAATAATAATATTGACATAATGTTTTGTCTATTGTATCATGACATAGCTTAATAGCTTTCTTCAATGATTCTAAAGCGACTGTTTGTATATAACCAAAATCATAATTATCTAATTGTAATTATTAGTTGGTTCGGGTGAGACGAAAGGTGAAAGACACCGAGCAATAAATGAAGAAAAAAGAGAATAAACAGAGATAATTAATTGTAATACTACGTAAAAAACATTGAGAATATTGATATAATACGAAACACTAAATATGCACTCAAAGTTGTTGACAAGGAGGATAAGCTAACCAAATAAAATTTATGTGCACATGAGGAATGATGAAGTCGGTCAGTAATCATCAACATAGAGATTAACAAAACGTAATTTACCCCAAGTTCCCGTACTACGACAACACGACGAGATGAAATTAACGTGATGAAGGAGTTGAAATAATGTGATAACAATGATAATGAGAAAGACTAAATATTGAAAATATGGTTCCAAAAAACGGAATGAAAAGGTAGGTATGAAGGAATATTAGAATTCAAGATCGAGTGAAAGATAAAGAGTAAATGAATCTGTGTCACTATGACCGACTCTGACCCATGTCACTTAAAGTCTCCAACCACTGACTGTGGTTACTATGAGGACTCGGACCAAGTTATCTGCATATACAAAAATAGCTCAGGCCAACAGTCAGTGGCTTAGAGGACTGATGCCATACTTTGGTTTGGCCGCTTCTAGCCACGTCATCAATAACGCAAGTTAGCAAACACTAACCGCGATTTCTGACTCCGTGTCGAGACTTCATCAAGTACCAACCCACCAGGACTGAGACTTCCAATGATAGTGAAACAGTCAATACACTCAACTAATTTACTCCATATCACTGGGTTAGGGATCGACGCACACCAGTACTGAAGAAATATTTTGAATTTGCAGGGAGAAAAGTGTACCCTGAAAATGCTCATACTGTTGCTTAAAAAGATAAAAAACTCTAGATCTTGTCAGCGACTTCACCAAGCTAAACAATTTTGACAGTAATAAAATTGTGGTGACGGAATAAAAAGGATAAGTTTACGTAAAAAATTACAGTCATATATACATTGATGTGGTGGTTAGTGTATGTCACTTGACCCTTGATTGATGAAGTAGCCGTTGAGGCAGGGTCCCAACCTTCTGTATAACAGTCGAGATTCGAGTCCATTCATCTCCTCAAAAATAAAAACTATCTCTTAACACTTCGAATAATTCGAAACCTGTTCACATGAGACATTATTTACTTTGTAAAACCTAATCGATCATTTATTGTCGTCATATTATATAAGGGCATGATGAGTGAGATACCTGTATAAGCAGTCCATCTCAATAAACAAAGAGAATTGGTTTGCTAAACTCGATAACCAACAATTTGTAACATTGTAGACTAGGCCACTAACTATGAACGATGATACTAAGATTCGTAAGAGTTTGTATATTCTTATTGTTGACGCTTAGAAGCACGGAATACAGAAGGACATTTCAAAAGTCAACTCGTCACAAGATACAATTACTTCTAGATGTATATTCCAATTGGGATGCATCAATACATGTTTAAATCGAAGATTTGGATAACTACCTTTAAAATGATAAGTCATACGTTATGGGTTCTATCGACAACCGCTACTTAATTAGCACTAAAACCGAATTATCTAACCTGGAACAAACTTTACTATTATTAGTATTGATATTATTACTGGGGGATAGTCAGAAAGTATTCATTCATTCCTAAATAAATATTTAAGTTAATTATTAATTTCAGAAGCGACCTAAATATCTTATATTAAAATTATTGAATAGAATTTCAGAAAACTCGATCAGGTTTGTGTTGTGTGCCATAAACGCCACCTGTCGGATGATGATGACTAGTGACTTTAATCGACCCCATCAACTTCAGTAGACGATGAAGATTTCGGACTAATTTCTCATTGGTTAGCTTATTGGTCCAGCTTAGTCCAAATTGTGCTGCTGTACATTACTAAGCTAAGAAAAACAGTAGTGTACAGACCGACAGAAAGAATAATACAAAGTCTGAACTATTGATATCAAGATTTCAATTAATAGATACAAAAAGGGATCGGAACAAGAAATGAAGTAGTCAATGACTGAGATTTAGCTAATTTATTGACCCTGGGATAATTTTCATCTTACTGTGTTCACAAAATCCACTGATTGACCAGCAGCACAAAATAATGAAAACGTAAGTGATAGAAAAACGTTTTTGGTGATGACCACGTAACGGTTTCTTGAAAAACGGATTGAATAAACCTTATCCACAAACCGGCCATAAGCCATACCCAATAAGATATAATATAAGCATTGTCACTTAGTTAAAAAAAGTCAGGATTGAGCCAGAGCTCTTAATATTTGAAGTCAATTGTGACAATCACTCAATACAAAATAACAGGTAGTAACTGCATTTAGTAACTTAACTTTGTGCCTTACTTCACCTCTAAGTATAACTAAAGTATCAGGAATTTCACAAACAATATACACAAACGCGATTGTAAGTCCGAATGTGAAAAGAAGACTTTAGGTATTAAAGAAGTTTGTCAATATTGTTTCGTAGGAATTAAAATGTAATATCTTGAACCTTACTAAACAAATTACAGATAAGCCTGATAAATATCAATTGCAACAATTCGTGATGCTAATGCCAAACAGGCAAAACTCACAGAAATGTCTGAAAGATTTACGTTATTTTTTTTAGCAAGAAAACGACAAAAACGAACTTAGGAGCTTTCTTTGCTCACCACACCTTCATTGAAGTTCCTCTTCATTAATTACACAGATTTCCAGGAGTAATAGCATCGATGTCTGTGAGAATTTCGAATGGGTCATTCCCTACTTTCTCCCAGTGTGATTCCTATTATACCTTTTTCCAATTATTATTCTTATTGATGTGATCGAACATTAAAAACTTGGCTTTATAAGCTGCACTGAATTAAATTTTCAATATTACCCTGATTGAATGAACATGTATAAATCACTACCGTTAAAGTTTGATTGCTTTTTTAATGATGAGTGAATAGAAACGAGAAAGATTAGAAAAGAACGCCTTTGAAAAGTGGTTGTCTTATTATTTTTATTGATTTAATAGGAATAGATAAATAATAAACAAACTTAAGATGATTTTATTTCATCGTAGATATAACTACATATGAAGATGTGCGAAATGATGATCGAAACATAGTCATCAATACATACTGACCTCCTAGAATGAAAAAATCTATGCATAAAAGCTAGATTTAGTTTTATTAAAGAATGGTCGGAATTGGATAATTAACACCGAGTACCGAGTACGAGCACTTACCTGTGAAAATGTTCGTTTAACAGTAAATAATTTCAGAAATAAACTTAAGCGAATTCAGGACAGTGAAAACAACAGATCTATCGGTCAAGAGTATTTTAAAATAGGAACCCTAAGATTGAAACAAGTATCTTCTGTTAAACACCAGGCTAAAAAATATAATCCAACACCAATAAGATATATTTGTGACAGTTAGTGGTTCACGTCATGTGAACAAAGTATTTTTTAAGGACAAAGCACAGTAGAAACACTTTGATTTAGACATGAAATAGGGAAGACGAAAATTCATTACTGCATAGTGCTGTTGACTTTTACGAACAAGTGAATATGGTCAAAATTAATAAAAACAAGCGTATATTTGTAATATTCTAATGAGAAAATCAGATTTTTTTGACGTTTTACGACCCAGTGTAAGCCACTTCTTCAGAGAACAAATGATCAATATATTCCATCCATTTTTTTCATTGTCCACAAATGATAAATGCATGCCTAGTTATCGAGTTCAAACAAATTGCCTTTTTTTCATTTTTTTCTATTTCATTATTACAACAAACTTAAAAGGTAAAAGAAATGTACATTTTGCTTATCTAGACAATACAAAAACAATATTATAATCAACATCACTTTTGAAAGTAGTGTTTGTCTTTATGTGTGAGGGTAAATATGGTGTAGTAACTAAATAAAAGATGATAATCTAGTTCCAAGTCTGTGGGAAAGATGAATCTAATTCGTAAAAATATTATAATGACAATTTCTTTCGACACACTAATAATCACATCTAATTTACTACAGAAGCTTTAGGATTAAAGATATAAAAGGCAAGTACTCAATCTATTGACATCAGTGTTTAATTGATAGTAAAGTTTGATTTATTTGGAAATTGTTCTGGCAACAATTTTTAAAAATTAAGATATGAAAAAGTGGTTATTTTATTTTCAGATTTTTTGTCAGTCTCCATGTTTAAACCCTTTTCGGAGAGTGAACTTAAAACTTCAGGGCTTTACAATGAGAACAGTGTCTTCCAAGTAGTTGGTGATAAGTAACGAGTAACATCTGTTTATTCCGGATCACACTACACAAAACTAAATCGACCATATCTGCATCAACAAAAAGTTCAGGAGGACGATGGAAGACGTGAGAACCAAGAGAGGAGCTGATATAGCATCAGATCATCACTTGCTGATCGCCAAGATGAAATTGAAACTCAAGAAGCACTGCACAACGGGGCGGACAATATCACAAAAGTTCAATACGGCATTTCTTCAGGATACTAACAAACTCAAAAAATTCAAGATAGTCCTCAGCAACAAGTTCCAGGCCTTTCATGATCTACTCAATGGAGAACGAACTACTATGGAGAGCAACTGGAATGGGATCAAAGAGGCAGTCACTTCAACATGTCATGAGGTCCTGGGTCACAAGAAACACCATCACAAGGAATGGATCACTGTTGATACACTGGATAAGATTCAAGAAAGGAGGAACAAGAAAGCAGCAATCAATACCAGTCGAACAAGAGCAGAAAAAGCCAAGGCACAAGCTGAATACACAGAAGTAAACAAACAAGTGAAGAGGAGCATCGGAACCGACAAACGTAAATATGTGGAAGATTTAGCAACGATGGCGGAAAAGGCTGCAAGAGAAGGAAACATGAGACAATTGTATGACATAACAAAGAAACTCTCCGGAAATCGCCGCAAACCAGAACGACCAGTGAAAAGCAAGGAAGGCGAAGTAATCACCAACATTGAAGAACAACGAAACAGGTGGGTAGAACACTCCAAAGAACTCTTGAATCGACCAGCCCCACTGAAACCACCCAACACCGAAGCAGCACCCACGGACCTCCCAATCAATGTTGGCCCACCAACAATTGAAGAAATCAGCATGGCCATCAGACAAATCAAGAGTGACAAAGCAGCAGGACCAGACAACATTCCAGCAGAGGCACTAAAAGCAGACGTAGCGGTAACTGCAAGGATACTCCACATTCTCTTCAATAAGATTTAGGATAAGGAAAAAGTACCAAAAGACTGGAAAGAAGGACTTTTGGTCAAAATACCGAAGAAAGGCGATCTCAGCAACTGTGATAACTACAAGGGCATCACTCTTCTCTCAATACCGGGAAAAGTCTTCAACAGGGTGTTGTTAAACAGGATGAAGGACTGCGTAGACGCCCAACTTCGTGACCAACAGGCACGATTCCGTAAGGATAGATCGTGTACAGACCAAATCACAACTCTACGGATCATTGTGGAACAATCAATTGAATGGAATTCATCACTCTACATCAACTTCATTGACTACGAAAAGGCATTTGACAGCGTGGACAGAACAACACTATGGAAACTTCTTCGACACTACGGCGTGCCTCAGAAGATAGTCACTATCATACAGAATTCATATGATGAATTGAACTGCAAAATTGTGCATGGAGGACAGTCGACAAAATCGTTCGAAGTAAAGACCGGTGTCAGGCAAGGTTGCTTACTCTCACCCTTTCTCTTCCTCCTGGTGATCGACTGGATCATGAAGACGTAAACATCTAGGGAGAAGCATGGAAAACAACGGACATCTAGGATGCAGGTAGACTTCGCAGACGATCTGGCTCTTCTGACGCACACGCAACAACAAATGCAAGAGAAGAGGACCAGTGTGGCAGCAGCCTCAGCAGCAGTAGGTCTCAATATACACGAAGGGAAAAGCAAGATTATCCGATACAACACAGCATGCAACAATCCAATCACAGTTGACGGAGAAGATTTGGAAGATGTAAAAACATTTACATATTTGGGCAGTATCACTGATGAACATGGTGGATATGATGCAGATGTGAAGGCGCGGATCGGCAAAGCAAGAGCAGCATATTTACAACTGAGGAACATCTGGAATTCAAAGCAACTGTCAACCAACACCAAGGTCAGGATTTTCAATACAAATGTCAAGACAGTTCTACTGTATGGGGCAGAAACCTGGAGAACTACGAAAGCCATCATCCAGAAAATACAGGTGTTTATTAACAGTTGTCTACGCAAAATACTTCGGATCCGTTGACCGGACACTATTAGCAACAACGTACTGTGGGAGAGAACAAACCAGATCCCAGAGGAGGAAGAAATCAGGAAGAAGCGCTGGAAATGGATAGGACACACATTGAGGAAAGCACCCAACTGCGTCACAAGATAAGCCCTCACATGGAATCCTCAAGGTCAAAGGAAAAGAGGAAGACCAAAGAACACATTACGCCGGGAAATGGAGATAGACATGAGAAAAATGAACAAGAATTGGATGGAACTAGAAAAGGTGGAGGACAGAGTGAGTTGGAGAATGCTGGTCTGCGGCCTATGCTCCACTGGGAGTAACAGGCGTAAGTAAGTAAGTAAGTAACATCTGTTTATCAATGTGCAGAATTTAAATAGATATAAAAATGAAAGAAACATATAGAGGTGAACATTGTGGGATAATAAAACTCCAAATACAAATGTGAACAGATTAACTTAAGAATAGCATGCTTTACAGTCATTGTTAGGAAAATTAACATTTCAAACAGGGTTTTGTTGTAGTAAGAAATCGATGTTGAAAATTTTATTGCTTGATAAGAATAAAGAAAGGTTTGATACTTAAGTATACCTATCAGTGATTATTTAATCAGTGAAAATTTTCAAATTAATTAACACTTAAAAAGCCATTTAAAAGTAAACAAATATTTTATAACTTACCGGAATTCATAGATCTAATAACATCAACTAGGCTTGTCCACACTTCTGGAACATAGCTCAAAAACGAAAAACTTTCTTTCTCACTAAAAGTCAATACTAGTAAGAAAAACTAAATAAAAAATAACCTACAGATTCAAGCATTGCTTTTGTGCTAATGATAAGATATATGCCATAACATACCGTCTAGGAATGTGCTTCACAACATGACGACAACGAACAGTGACAACTTCTGCATTACATAGTGGCTTTGAGTTATGTACAGACAATTTTGTCGCCATAAGAAAAACAGCGTTTTGAAGATCGTCCATTAAGTCGTACTTTCCAAATTAAGAGGTTAACTTGACTGTTATCCAAGAATAATTATGATCAGTTGTATACAGTTGAAAAAATGCAAAATAATCCCAGAACAGCAGGAAGGATCTATAAAGAGAAATAAGGGGGAACTTATCACTAATGTTGAATGTGTTAGTGAAATTAATCTGCCCAAAAAGTGTGAATAGATCCATACTTTTAAAAAAAATGCAACATTTTGACCAAATATGGAGGTTTATGTACTAGAATTTGAGCAACACCTTCGGATTGATGACACACCAATTTGCTCTCGTAACTGGTTGTTAGGGATGAGTTCTAACTCAACATCCACATGCTGATAGGTAAGTATCAAACGACGTGGAAACATTCTATCCTTATTACTGAAGACTGAAGATTATGATTATACTTTGTGTCAACAGAAATTTTCGCGTTGATGTTAATGAAAAGCCGGATGAAAGTCACTTCCGTGAACATGTCTATTATATTACTACATATATTTGGACGAAGCGCTAGTCCTTAAAGAATAATAATCAGTACATTTCTTTCCGACAATCTTGCCGTTTAAGCCAAAATACAAAATCATACTTGGAAGTTTGATGTGAGTGAATGAGGTCAAGAAAATCAGGCTGGGGTAATGTCGGATATATTCCTGACAGTGTAATGAACCAAGTCACACAAATAGAACGAAACCGTGTCTTCTTGTTGAAAATGTCTAATTAGTAAACAGATGTGAAGAATCCTATCAATCACAGTATTAGTTAATACGATCGATGTTATTTTCTCGATCGAGGAAAGCCATTGCTTTGGTGTTGAGGAGGAATCCTCAATAAAGTGAGATATTAGTACAGCATAACAACATTCTCAAGGAAAATGGCTATCATGATGACTAAAAAACCATCCACTAAATATCTATATAAGTAGTGAAATTATATTCCTTAAAATGGTATTTGTGTCGCTAGCAACTAATTTCAACACCAAATGACTTACACGTTTTGTCAAAATGTGACTAAAATAAGAAATCTCCAATTCAAATCAAACAATATTATTACTAGACCTGAGATCTCAACAACAATTGCAGGAACTCAAGGTCAACAAGTACCTTGAATGACCGCTACATTCGGTTTCAATATGCAATATCCATTGTCATCAGTTATAAAGACAGTAGATGGGTGGACTTTTGTTATTCCCTACAGTTTTTCCTTCAGTGAAGGTCCAGTTTCTCCTTAAAAATGTTTAGTAATGGGGCTGATAGTTCTAGTTTGGGTAGGGCGTTGACCACTCAATGAGAAAAACGGAACCCCACTCTGGGTTTACTAGATCTCGGTTTTTGAACCTCCTTGCTATGACCTTGGAGATTATCAGTGCTGGAGGGAGACAACAAGATTAGATATGTTATCATCCAAATCGTAGTCGAAGATACGGAATGCCAGTAAAGGGTCACTTTGCGTTATTCGATACGACAACGACAAAAGGTTTAGGCGTCTTAAGCGCTCGTAGTATGGGATTTTGGAAATGACCTCTACAAATTTTGTTTTCACATGCTGAACACGCTCAAGTGAGCTAGTATACTAATTTGACATGGACTGGCCGCTTGTATACAGTACTCTAAGTGTGGCCTTACTGACAATTTATGTAAGCGTTTGTATGTCCCTTTCCTATCCTACTCATCACATGTCTGTAACTTATTTTTTTCGACTATAAATATTGATCAAGGCTTTAGTAAATGAAGTTGGCTCACAGTCCTTCTCCACTCCACGTTATTTCGATTCGCTCTATTCGCTTTCTTCGCTACGTTCCTATGAATGTCTGTCCAGATCAATGAGTGTATAAAATATACGTATTCAAAACTTCATTCTCGCATTCAACTTATTTAGTTCTGTTATACATTAACGCGAGTTGAGTCGACAATATTATACTAGGATTGACGATATGTATGTTTCAATAGCAATCACAAACGATACAACTGGAGTCAGACCATAGGCCCCAATAAAGCGGTGAGCCGGCCGACAACGAACCTAACGCAACAAAATATGTCGTTGATAAACCTTCTGCACTTCATTCTTTCTACGAACAAAACTCAGAGAATCCGGCTCAGTCGATAAACAATGCAGTTTTGACCATACAACCGAATCAGAAAGAGTTCATGGCACCACTAAAATTTGAATGCTCGGCGAAGTGACCATAACGCACTGCGCTGCAATGAGTAGTTATTTTCGAGTTGTGAATTACTATAACCCCTAAGTCTTTATGTTCCTGAACACATGGAACAGGTGTGGCATCGATAGTATACTGATAACTGTTACGCAGCACGATGTGCATGAGAAATATAATTGGTTCAAAGTAATATAAAATGTGGTTTGGACTTAAATGGTAATAAAGATAAATATGTGTGAGAAATAAAATAGAACGTACATAGTAACGTCGAAATGACAAGAAAACAGTGGTTTCAACGTCATTTTGCGGCTAAACACACAAACAGAGTGTGTGCCTGCACTTTCTGGTCACATCATATTGTTTAGCCGTCCCATACAGAACTTACACGTTATCTGAAATTCTCTGTTGTTTCCAGTGTGAACCGTCATCAGGAAATTGGTTGAAATTTCGATAACTTTGACAGTGTCGAGTGAAAAGATCGATTTGTGATAGAATGGGCCTTATCTCCCCTCTCTCCCAAAAATTTAAAAATGGATTGTTCTCATTGTTTTTAGAGGTACTGTGTCTACGGTGAATACTTCACTTTTATCACCCTAGATTTGCTTAGATCATACACACACTCATGGTTTAATTTTTGACGATATGTCTAGTTTAATTATTCATCGAAAAAACCGCAATAAAAATTAGACCGCGACTGTCTTACCCAGAATCAGAAGACTGTTAGAAGGTACAAATTGTAGTAATAAACAAATCCCCAGATTCAACAGCTCTATAAGTCTTCGACGTTTTATGCTGACCACATCAGTTTTACTAAGCTCACCTAATTGATATCGCTCGGTCACGCACCTGCACGAGATCACGAGTAGGCACGCCGTGATTCACTCTTCCCACAGCCACTTGTCAGCTTAGATCGATTACTTCCCAAACTATCGATAGCCTATCAAGTATGTCTTCGAGCATTTTCGCTACTGACTTCTGATTTGACCGGGTTGTCATATTTCGATCATAAAAGTTGTTACAGGTTAAGGAGTTGTCAAACTCCGAATACTTGTGGCAACTTTAAGCTGGAGAGATCAGGAAGAATAACTTGACATACAGAAGTAAGGCAACGAACTGCAGTACCAAAGCGTGTACGTGAAGGAACTTACACACACAATCACAAAACTACCAGAAAAAGCCTTATAACTGAAAGAGCAATATATTTCTTATGTAAGAGAGGGGAATTCAACTAGTCCAACCATGCAGTCTGGACAATCGTTCTTATGTAACCTTCACTTTTTACGTCAAGCATTCATCGCCCAGCAAGAATCTTCCAACTTAGTGTATGTTCAGTACTAAAAATGATCTATGGTGACGCTCCGGTGCCATTCCATTGTATCAAACTTCGAGCACTACCAAACAATTTGCGCACCAGTAAAGGTGGAGGTTTTTAAAAACCGTAAATCTACTACCTATGAAGGACAAGTCGAATCAATCAATTTCAACAGCAGCAATCAAAATGTTCAAAACCAACATGGTAGACACTTAAGCATGATGTTTGGTTAAACAAGTGAGCCACACTAGGGAAAAACAACAAAAATTGAAATTGTGTAGAAAGCGTCGAGTAAAACCTCTACTAAGCCGAGGAAGAAACGTCATTCACGTGAATAAGTAGATTTTTTGGAGTAATATGTCATGTGCTTCTTTATTTAATACAGGTATCATACTACCGCTATTAATACTTAAATAATAACTGGGTAGTGTGTGTGTTCGACCCGGAAAACTGTTTCCACTGGTTTTCTAACGTGTTACACTTAGGTAAACTAACTTTTCGTGTTTATTTTATCTTCGTCACATGTATATAACTGATGCGTGGGCGAGAATGATAATGATTGGTTGTCTGCTTAGTCAGACATGTAGATAGTCTGACAGGTGTCAGATGAGTTATATATTCCCCTATCTTTATTATTATTACTCTCTTATTATTGATTGTTCATTGTTGTCGGGTCGTGTCGGCTTTTGCTGTGGAAATATATTCACGCTGTGATCAGGCTAATCACGTGTTCTTGATCTGAGTTGTGTTGAAGTCCTGTAGAATAGACACTGGAAGGGAATCTAGTGTAGATATTCGTCTAAGGTAAATTAACCTCCCATACGCGTAAACGTGGAAACCCAACTGTTATAACATTCGGCGAAGTAAAACCGAGCTTTATAACAATAACCTACACAAATTGATATTCGATTATCGTGTACAATTAATCGATACTTACGAATCCGGGTGGATGTTTCGATGGCAACCTGCTATCAGCCATTATACTGTGCACACTTGTACAATGTATTTCTTCATTACTGTTGCACGAAAATCCAGATATACTTGCTGAATCAGATCTCGACAAGGCTAATAACTTATCAAACTATTCTGGTGGAGCCTACACTAAGGGTACCATTGAGATACCAATTACAAGGTCTGTACATTTGACTGAGGAAGCTGTTCCTCAATTGACCATTAACCTAGGACCTAGGGAGACACCGGGATTTGATGTTTTATGAACACGATTGTTGTCATCTCTCGCAATTATTAATTTAAGGCCACATATGACAGAGTATATCTGACTGCCAACAGTATAATATGTGGCGACCGAACTGCCAATATTCGGTTTGAACGTAGAACCGACGAGCCAAAGTTTATTCCATTAGGCCAGACTACGTTCTTCCGTATAGCGTACGAAGCGTTTTTTAGTTAATAGCATTAAATTATATCAGAACACAAACTCTGTGCTCAATTTAAATGGTTCCAACTTAAGAAAAATGGAAAAATATATATCAAAATACAAAATATCTCAAATGGTACAGCCTATTCTATGCAGTCAAAAGTTTCTCCGACACAAAGTAGCGTGCTAAGCAACAAAAGAAACGGTTAATACAAAAGAGTTCAATACCTGGGAATCTAAAAAATATTCATAACAAGATGGACTTCCAGCAATCTTCCCAAGCAGATAGTCAAAGCTTAACAGTCACACACTGAATCACGCCGTGTCCTTGAGCTTAGTCAAACACGATCTTACTGTCAATAGTCCGGCAAAATGCAATAGAAAGTTAGGTAACAATAGATAAGTCTTTAATCAAAATAGCATAATAAAGGGTAAAAACACGACAGGGAGGAGAAACAAATAAATGACGGTACTGTCCAACAAAAAAGCTGCGGAAGGATTATCATCGTTCTCTTTCCGTTACATTGTAGTTATGTTACTAGAAAAAATAAGTTCGTGCTGAATTACCAAGTCACATAGAACCATACAGAATATTAAATAATGAACAACACGGGTTTCGTGATGAGTGTTCATGCTTAACCAACTTACTAGTTGCTAGAGAGGAGTGAACAGTAGCCGGAGATATCACTTTGTCTATTGATGTGATATGCATAAATTTAGTAAAGAATTTGATAAGGTTTCTCACCAAGGTGACTCCTAACAACAGAATCCAAGCCTTACAGGATCTACTGAAAGAAGAAAATACTATGGAGGACAACCCGAAAAAGGATTGGTGAAGCACTAACTTCAACGTGTCACGAGGTGCTGGGTCGCAAGAAGCATCATCAAAAGGAATGGGTGTCCATGGAAGTCCTGAACAAGATTCAAAAAAGGAAGAACAAGAAGACAGCGATTAACAACAGTCGAACAAGAATAAAATTGGCCAGGTTTAAAGCAGAGCACATCATTTAAAATTGTAACATGTAAATCAAGGATTGTTTGTCACAAATTCAATTCGAATCGTTAATGCTGGGATGACTAATATGAAATGTCAACTTAGATCATTTTATAAATAAAATAGAATTGGAAGATAAACAATTATTAAAATAAATATAGTCAACGTGGGGTGAGAGAGAATAATGTAATTACAAATCAGAAATTACATAATATGTAGAATAATATGGATTAGGTCAAATACAGTAGGTCGAGGTGGATGCCGAATAAATTTCTCAAAATTTTG